GTTCGCCTTTAGGGTTTCCCTTCCCACACTTTTCCTCTGCCATTTTTTTAATCAGTATACACCTTCTCAACACTATATCACATATATTGAGACAAGTCTCTATTTCTCTGTCATATCTTCTCCATCTTAGTGGGAGGCGCAGGCACCTTCAATCAACGAGGAGTACGTCCTGACAGATTCATTCCATTTAAATCCTATTGAGCTGGAGTCTTGAGACACCCTCTGTCATAGCGATCAATCTATCTATCCGGGTATTCATTGATGCTGCATGATAACTGTCATATATATATGCCAGAGGCACAAGATAAGAACCTATCACGAGAGCATTAGTGTAATATCGTTACTCTGGTAGCGATTAGCAAAACCCTGGTATCTATCCATAGGAAATCATGGTGATGGCGGATCAATTAAGGGTATCAGGCAGTGATGGTAGTTGGCGGACGTCAAGGGGCCTTGAAACACTGTTTGATTGTGTTCAATTGTCCAGTTTCAGCTCTCCGCTGAAACCGGGCGCATGCCAGAAATTGGCCAGGAGAGGAGTTACACTGTGCATGTCGTCTCGTCAGTAAGTCGACAAATCGAAGTACCTCATGGAGTTCGATCAGGAGCTGACTGTCATTACCTCGTACACCCACTCAGGACGGTGTGTGCATCCGTGCCCTCCTCACTGGCCTCAAGACTCCTCTTGATATCCGACAACTCCGTCGACCATTGAAAGTACCGCTCTCGACCGGTCGACCCCTGATCGACATGGGTCGCTGTTGCACCATTCGTAAACCACGAGAAGAGGCCCGACTTGGATGCGACTTTGGCGGCTCCATTATTGAGATTATTATTATTACCATCACCGGCGTGTTCGGCTTCACCATCGTCATGGGTCACCTCTGCGTATAAGCTTCCTTTCGTCCAACGGTTGGGCAAAGCGCGTGTATAGCGGATGGGTCGGCTCTCTACATCGGCCCGCATGGGTACGTTCAGGTTGTAGAGCTCCACGCGCTCATCCCAGTTGCGGTACAAATGTTCGATAAGACGCACAGACAGTCTCGATGCCGCTTTGATGACTTCGGGGTCTTGCTCCTCCTTGCTCCCGAACGACAATGCGATGCCCCGCTTCCCGCACGTGGCCGCTTCCAGGGCACCGCCAACTGTGCCAGACGAGAGATTGTAGATTGTCGATGCGTTGCGACCGTGGTTGGGACCGGAGACCACCAGGTCAATTGGGCCTCGGTCTGTAAATAGATTATAGATACCAAGCTGTGTGCAGCTGGCGGGCGTGCCGTTGCTGACAACCACCCAGTCATTGTCTCTTGACCTCACGGGCGCCTGCTGCTGCTGGTTGTCCTCCTTGGCCTCTGAGGCATTCTGAGAAACTTCATGGTTGTTAACGGAGGAATCCCAGGTCCCGTCCTCGCGAAACGAGTCCGGATGCACGTATGACGCTTTGAGGGAGGCCCCGATTATGTGAGCTTTCCCGATCCAGGATCGCGATTCGGCGGGGACGGCGACGGAGACCCGGTGGCCAGCATCTTGCAGGGCGTCCACGAACGGCCGGACATACGGAGAGAGCTTCTTCGATGGGGGGCCATCGTCATTCACCACCTGTGGGTTAAGTAGGGAATTGGTGGTCAGTTCACTTTTGGCAGGCCATTGTAGAATCCACGCTCAGAGGGGAGAGTTTTGGCGATTGTCTTGGAGAGAACCGAAAGAGGGACATCCGCCAAGGGGCCTTTGTCGCCGCCGCTCAATGGCGGACAGCAGCACATGCCACGAGCGCCAAAGAGAGCACTTACAAGGATATGCATGGCGAACTCTACTGGGGCTGATCAGCACTGGCTGTGGGAGGCGAGGGCAGCTGGTCGACCAGGACAGTAAATTAAGGAGATAGTAACAATCAAGGCAAAACAATTCACGAGGTTCGTCGCCGGGTTTCCCAGCTTGTTTGCAAGGTGATCTCTCTCTGCTTTCCATTCACCCTTTGCGGGCCATCAGTTAAATAGAAATGCCTGTACTGGTCCATGTCCGGATTTGCATCTTCACCGGGTGATCAAACAGCCAACCCGCCATCGATGAGGTCGGGGAAAATGGGAACGTCCAGCCAGCTAGATAAATGAGAGCTGTTTACCCAAGGTAATCTGGACGGACGGAAGGAACCCGACTTGCTGGATTCTGGCAGAACGCTGGTCCGGTGAAGCTGGAATAGGAAAAACGGTTATTCGAGGTCTGGGTGTTTGGTATCTGACATACGGTTACAGGCGGTTTCGCGCTGCCAACAGTGGCCAGCGGCGGTATGGAACGGAACCAGACGGTAATCTGTGACAACCCGGAAAGGTTCTCCGGTGAGCTGAGAACGAACGATACTGTATACCCCGCACAGAGAGGCTGCGTGCACCACACGCTGGAGGAACGTGCTCCGATCGTTTCTTCCGTCTCGATATGGAGCCTCAGGCATGCAATGTTCAGGATGAAACCCTAACTCGCAACAATCATGATCGTGTCCAGGACTCCAAATCGAGCTATCTGCGATGCAAGAACGAGATCGCTTGGCAGATGGTGGATCCTTTCACTAGCGCGGGCCTGGCACAGGCTCAGCGTATGAGCGACGACTCCCAAGCGGTGAGGCCATCCTCGTGCCACGGTGCCACGCCACCGTTCCTCCTTTCTGCGCCTCAGGAACCCGTGAGTCAACCCCTCTGCCTTGTCGGACGATATACTCGTTGCTAAGTGTATTATCAAACAGATTCGCAATCCACTAATCACTGTCATCCTCCTCCTCCTCGTCGTGATACCACCGCCCTTGGTGGTTGCGAACCCGGAGGTCCTCACGTCCCCTTAATCTCGACGAGTAAATTTTTTTAAACTTTCTTTCCGGTACCTGATCCCAACTTTCTCCCATTGAGCCTTTGGTCCATCACTGTGCAGTGCATCGACTCCTAATAATCACACAGCGTGCGAGCCTTGGTTGAGTGTGAGCGCCCACTGTGTTGGTGGGCTGTCCTGGGCTGAGATCCGACTACGGAGCACGACAGTCATCATCATCTATCTACAGCAGCGATCTGACCAAGCCATCCTACCCCAGTAAGCCTTCGCTCCTTCAGCGGGCCGTTCTGAGTGGCCGGCACAACGTTTAGATCACCACCCAATTTCTAAGCTGCAAAACCTTTTTGGTGGGGAACACGCGCCCGACGCTGAGCCCCCCAAGCCCCCCCCCCCCCACTCGAAAATGGACGTGGCACAGCTGACACCCGTCACATTGTTGAACCAACCCGCCGCCTGGTTGGTGTTGTCCACAAAACCACATGTCGTCCCAGCGGTCGCGAATTGGCGGTTAGTGTTGGTCGGACCAGGATGTTCGGCATACTGTTTCGTCCACAAGTCAGCCGGCCACTCCTCACGCATTGGATTCAAAAGAGATCATGAAGGCTTACGTAGGAGTCAAAAAAGGCAAAGTTCTGGGCAATCTCGACCAATGTGGCGGTCTTCTTCTCGTCGTAGGCCTTGATCACAAAAGACGCCTGACCAGGGGTCCCCTGGTATTTCTCGGACTGACGCTCGATGAACCCTCCCATATTCGGGACCGAGTCCTTGGTCGGGTTCCAAGTCCGGTAGATCTCGTAGGAGGTGCCTGCGAAGTTGTGGTCTGGGTCCCTCAAAGGCACCTCTCCCTCGTATGGTTCCGCGCAGATCAAGATAGGCTCTCCCCACACGGTCCAGTTGGGGTTGGTGTACTCGTTGCAG